TGAATTATCAACTACTGCAAGATTTAAATGAGCAATAAAAATAACAAGCGAAGAGGAAGAACAAATAGGATTTAAAGAGCTAGGGAGTCGGGGATATCCGTTTTGGTTCGAAAATGCAATTATCAAGCAAGAGATTGTTCGGTTAAGTGATTTGAATAACCGGCACGTTCAAGCACTCATTCTCAATAACTCTTCGTAACAAGAGAACAAACTTAAACGACAAGTTAACAAGTCATTTAACACTTAGGCAATACAATTACGAACAAGCCTAGTTTATACGAGCCTATTTCGACCGACTCCTCCCCTTTCAGTTCTAAGAGTCGATTAAAAGAGACTAGAGGGTTGTTAATCCACTAATCCATTTAGAATTATCAACAACATGCATGAATTTATCGAATTCAATTGAAACAATTGGAGATTGAAGTGTCACCCTTCAATAATTCTCAAAATCCAAGAACGATGAATGAAAACCCTAGAAAAAGCTTAACTCGTACAAATTGAACAATCACGAACAGGATAATCACAAATGAATTCAAAACATCAATCCCCTATTCCCTAGCATATGAATTCAGCCACTCATACCAAATTCAACATCAACATTCATATGAAGCAAAGACATATCACTCATCAATGAAAGAAGAGAGAAACTTACGATTAATATGAATCCAGTGTTGAAGAAACAAGGAGCAATCCAAATTTAAGAGTTGAATCTTGGCGTTTTCACAATCCAAGATCAAATTCTATCAAAACTAAGAGAAATACTTGTTCTGGAGTGAATAAAAACGAGAGAGAGTCTAAACCTAGGTGAAGGAATGAATGAAAAACTGAACAAAATCGCAACATAAAAATTCTGCTGTCGCGACCTCCGCGGCCGCGACTTAGACCTCCGCTGCCGCGGGATTTTCATTGCTGAAATTTGGGACCTGGCAGCTTTTCTTCGCCGCGGCCGCGGCGAAGAAAGGGTCGCGGCCGCGGAGACCAAAATCTGCACTGCACCATCTTACGATTTTTGCTCGTTCGGGTTCGTTTTAACTCAGAATTGAGTTCCGTTTTTTCCTACGTGTCGCTAACGAACCCCTCTATCTAATGGTGTCAGCTTCCTCACAAGATTCTCGAAAACCTGTTCTCCCGAGGTCTTCAAACTACACACCAAAAACGAAAAGAGAACAGAAAAAGACCGAAAAACAAACGGAAAACATCGCAACACTCAAATGAACGCAAAACACATAATAAATGACAAAATGATCCTAAAACCATCTAAATGACTCAAAATGGGGAAAAAGAAAGAGAAAATAGACACGAATAACGTAACAAAAATGGGACAAACAACGCTTAACTACTTTTTAACCATCCGATCATCTGCAAAAAAGGACACGTGTATGGTCAAGATGTGGTCGAGCGTGCAAATAGTGACTGTATATGTAGTTGTGGTTGCAATT